TCCCTTGGAGCTGCTGTTCTTATCCCAGTGATGGTGCAGGAGTGTGACGAGATGTTGCTGCTTGCAGCAGATGAGGGCTTCAGTGTTAACTCGGTGATGTGATGCCAGCCTTGGATCAGTGCAGGGGCTCCCTGCCTTGGCCTGGGGGCCAGCAGGGCCAGCAGCGACTGGGGATGAGGATCGTTGCCCTGTTTCTTCTGCATTGCAGGGGAAAAGCTCCTGTGTAGCTCTGAAGCTGTGGGAGTTGAGGTTTGAGCCTGGGTTTTGCCTCTGCTTGTGCTGCTGTGTCCCAGGGAAGGGTTTGGGCTCCCCACAGCTCGGGGATGCTGTAGATCCACGGCTGCTTTCTGAGTGCTTCCTCCTCCCCCATCAACCACAGCTTGTTTTCCTGAGAGCTGGTGGATTTATGGCATTGTTGCATCTTGGCTCGGGATTGTGGAGTCTCTTTCCAGCAATCCAGACTGGCAGGAGGTGTGAGTCCCGGTGCTGGTGAGCTGTGGGTCCCCTGCTCCCTGTCTTGGCTGGGCTGAGCAGGGCTGGTGCGAGGGGAAGGCTTTGTGCAGAAAGTGGCTTCATGTTTCATTGGTCTGAGGCATTCCAGGCAGGGTTTCCCCCTTTTATTCCTGCCTTTGACACCAGTTTGCTCAGGGACATTGGTGGGGTTTGGGCTCCTCTCCCTGGCTGTGGACGTTATACAGATTTGAAATAGAGTGCGATTTCTTTGTTACTTAAATCAGGTCACTGGCAGAAATCCTCTCCCTTTTGTTAGTTCAGGAGCATCTTCTGTAGAATGCGAAGTGCCAGCTCTGATGGTGGGCAGGAGCACCCTTGGGCAGGACTTCAGCTGCTCCGAGGCAGGCCCGTGTCCCTAAACCCACACGGGGACATCATCACTTCTGCCTGCTTCCAGCTCCCCCACTGAGTGGGGACAAGGGGTTTCTCTGCATGAAAGGGTGTAGGAATCAATGTCTTTTCCCCCCCGCCCCAAGCAAGTGAAGGTGGTTGTGAAGCCCCACAGTTCACTCCCTCATCTGGTGAGGTTGGGGTGGCTTCAAGCTCTGTCATCACCTTCCCCCAGGGCCTGTGCACAGCAGAGCTGGTGGGAGCTCCGCTGCTGACTTCGGGGGTGATGGGATCTGGAGGCTGAGCAGTGTCATGCCTCTGTTTTCCATAGGGAAATGATATCTTAAGAAAGATGACAATATAATTCTGCAGAGCCTCTCCCTGTTGCTTGTGTTTCCATGTTGGGGTGTGTGGTTGTTTTTTAAAGGAGGTGGCATTTGAAATATGAAGTTTGACAGCCGTGGTTGAGGCTGACATGACAGCCTGCTTTCTTCTTACTCACAGAGAGCTGAGATTTACACAATCCCTCAGGGACTGGTGTATACAGCAATAGGCATCTTGCTCCTTCGTTAGAAGTAGTTTAAAATGTAATAGTTTATTACGTACTTCTGTGGGTGAACACTCATGCTCTGAGAGCAGGTTGAGCAGCATCTCTCCTGAGCATCCTGCAAACGGGACTTTGGGGTGGCTGGATGGAGAGATGGGGTCATGATGAAGGGCTGTTGTAGCTGTGCCAGTTCTGCAGAAAATCACCCCAAAGAGCTCATGTCAGTTGTTGGCTGCCTTGCACTTCTGAGCCAAGGAAAACACTCGTGGTGAAAATGGGAAGAACCTCCCTTCTTCATCCTTTGGTGGTTCGTTCCATCAGGAAGCAGGTTTTGATGGCTCTGCTGGGTTGCAATGGGTGGGTAGGTGTGAAGTGCAGGGGTTTCCTGGCTGGAGGGTGGGCATCTGGTGTCAGACCCTTGTGGCACTGGTGTCTCCATGGTTCTCAGTGGTCCCCTTGTCTCCCAGGTCATGCTGGCTGCTTCCTACTGGTCCCTCCTGGCCCCGGCTATCGACATGGCCGAGGAGTCCGGCAGCTTCGGAGCCTTCGCCTTCTTCCCGGTGGCCCTGGGCTTTGCTCTGGGAGCAGCTTTCGTGTACTTCGCCGACCTGCTCATCCCAGCACTGGTAAGTGGGATCATGGAATCCCAGCCTGCTTTGGGTTGGAAGGGACCTTAAAGCCCATCCAGTTCCAACTCCTGTCACAGGCAGGGACACCTTCCACTAGAGCCCCTCCCGGGGTTGGGCCAGCCACAGCTTCTCTGGGCACCCTGTGCCAGCGCCTCAGCACCCTCATAGTGAGGGTGCTCCTGGGCTGGGGCTTGTGCTGTTCCTTCAGCTCTGCCTTAGCAGGACCTGGATACACACTGGTTTCTATCACAGCTTTAATAAACCCATGTGCTCTGCTTGTGCTGCTGCAGCTTTAGGCTCTCTGCACACTTTTTTTCCTCCCCTTCATGCTGCTGCTTTTGTTCTTTTCACTGGCAGTGCTTTGCAAACAGCTCAGGTGTGACCTTCTGTTTCAGCCCAGGGGTTTAATTTGCGGAGCTGCCAACCCTTTAAGCACTTCAGAA